CACTTCCAGTAAAGTCATAAAAACCTGGAACTCTTAGAAAAGTACTGTAGGAGCTCTATGCCTACAACAATGTGCCTTAGATGCCTGCGTACATTATTTTTATCCACCGCAAAACGATGTAAGATAAGAAACTTTCTTCTTTTGTTTTACGAAAATTTAAACAAAAGTAATCTCATTATATCAGTCTAAATGTATTTTTAGCCTTCGGTTTTCATACACCTTGTAGAAGTATTCACGTTTTCACTATTTTTGTTACGTCGACCTTATGTAGAGATCTTTTAAATCCACGCATTTTACGACCTAAGTTTATGGCTGCTCTAAGCCTCTATTTACATTGTTTTTACCATGTCACTATAAAGGTAGATATAAATGAAAACGTAAGTAACTATGGGATTTACATGCAGTTTCTAAAGTAAAAAATAAATAAAAAAACAACATAGTTTTTCATAAAAATTGCAGGTTTATACATATAAAAGTCGGCCGTTTGGTGTAGTGGTTCAGAACGGACTACTATGCCGAGAGGTCCCGGGTTCGATTCCCGGCCGGGCAGAAATTGAAATGATGAATTTTAATTTCTGTCACGGGTCTGGGTGTGACTATGTATAATATTTATGTATTTAAAAAAATAAAAGTATATAAGTAGTATATCCGTTAAGCTAGCACCCATAACACAAGCATTAAGTTGCTTACTTTGGGGCTAGCTGGCGCTGTGTGAAATTGTCCAAAGATTTATTTATTTATTTATTTATTTATTTATTTATTTATTTATATAGTTAAAAGGTTTTAATAAGAATTATGTATTAACATTAAAGGGGATCGAAATAGACAAAATTAAGTATTATATCACAAATGAAATCTTATAAGCAATAAGTCAATACAGTAGGTAACAAACACCTTCATTGATTTTTGCTGCAAAATCCCACTGACAACTTCATGAAATGCCGGTGATCATTTTCATGAGCCGTCATCCGTACATTTCGTGCGAAATCAAATCAAAAGTTAAAATTTACTTTTGAGAAAAGTTATTTTTATTTGTGAACACAAAGCTATATTAAAGGACTCTCAATTAAGATTATTGATAAGTAGTCCACTTGGAAAACAAAGTTCTTTTGACGCAATCGCTTTTCTCAATATCGACTTTGAAAAAAAAATTTCCGATATTAAAGAATCCAGGATGGAGTAAAAGCAGGAATAGGTATTACATATTTTCGCCAACTTATTACTTGCCCTTAAGAATAATATAGCAAGGGGTTAAAATCTCGTATTTTAAAGGGAAATTTCTGCAGCAGATTATTTTCAAAATATTTCACAATTAATTTCCTAGTCTGCATTTACAGTCCGACAGAATATTAGTCAAGGATTTTTTTTCGGGACGGTTTTTTAACAACGTCTTTAAAACAACATACAATAACTTAGACTAGACTGATAGTTGGACTGATAAATGGTCTAGGCTTCTTTCATTGCTTATTTTTTTAAATAAGTCTTTACAGTTACATTATTGCCCCAATAGCGAACACGCCACAAGTCTCTTCATCAAATTCATAGTGTATGACTGTCATAGTCACTGATCTTCTAATTTTTGATTATACAAGATCAACAACCGATTTATTTATTTATAAAACTAGCGACCCGCCCCTGCTTCGTACAGGTACAATTTAAACCTTCGTCTTGAATACTCTATCTACAAAAAAGACCGCATCAAAAACCGTTGCGTAGTTTTAAAGATCTAACCATACATAGAGAGAGACAGATAGGAAAGCGACTTTGTTTATAATATAGTGAAGCTTACAGAAATTCTAAAGCGCTAAATTAATCAGTACATGCACTTCCTTAATAATTTTATTACCAACTAGCTTTCCGCCCGCGGCTTCGCCCGCGTGGAATTTTGTCTGTCACAGAAAAACAATATTTCGCCGTTTAGACCAACCCTACGAAAAACATTTTAAAACCAAAATCAGCCCAGCCGTTCTCGAGTTTTAATCAGACTAACGATACTATTACTTATTCTGTGCTAACGAACATCAATTCATTTTTATTTATATGTATAGATGTATAGATATACTATATTATGAACACAACAGTATGCTATTAGCCAAAGCACTCCTCGAGAAGTTGAAGTTCTGTAGCATCCCGCTCGCAAACATTTACTCACACTTCAGTTACAAACTACCCACAAACCGCCCCTCTCATATCCAAGTCAGTGTGTAGCTCAATATGTAGCTTACACAAACAAGTTTATACTTTACACTATACAGGATATGGTCGTGAAAGACTTAGGCTGGGTTGCACCATCTTATTTTAACTTTGACAAACGTCAAAAATCTGTCAAACTCCATACAAAAAGCACCGGTTATCGTCAAAGTTACCGTTAAAGTTAGGTGGTGCAACTCAGCTTTAATAAACTTAATTATAGACAACCTTCCTTGCGGATCACGAGATATGCTATAGGTACATACAATTATTTATCCGACGGATTAAAAGATGAAATGACAATGAAAATATGTTTGCAATTTGCAACAAAGTAAATTGGCCTTAAAAATAAAATCTTTATAATCCAGTGAAAGTTACAATCTATTTAAATAGCGCAAACAATTAAATGATCCTTTGTAAGGATAATCAAGTGCAACGTCACGTGCTATGAGAGTGACTTATCACTAAAAGTACAGAACTATAATTCTCTCAAGTGTAACTTTTTATTTATAACTGATAAAATACGTTCTAATTTGTATTGATTTTTACAAAAATATTTTGATAAATCAGTAATAGTTAACATTAATCATTTGTTACGATGTCGTCGGTCCACCTTGTAGTTAGACGTCACACGCTGCGTTTTCAGGTACGGTATTGCGGTCCAGGGAAGCGCTGGACGCAGGCCGCTACCAATCAATCAACGTGGAAAGCATTGGGGGAGGCCTATGTTCAGCAGTGAAATGATGATGATGAATCATTTGTTCAAAATCAAACGCATACCTATGACGTGTAGGTAATATGAAGCAAATACGTATTAACATGTGATTTTATTACAAACAACTAAAGTATTTGACATTGAATGAAATTGGCGTGCCTTTGAAAGGATAATAGTCTCAATTTTTCTATTTACACCATTCAGTTACGTGCGTGTGTCTCTAAATTAATCAATGAGTCGATTTGTCTTCGGAGAACAATACGTGTTGGTACTCGGGGCAATCGTTCGTCAATGGTTTGCAATTGTGTTTGACGCAAATTTATGATGCCAATAAAAAAGATCGACGTTTTAAACTAGTCCCAAAACAGTCTAGACAGCTGCATTGAAAGTGGGAAAAGTATCTTAGAATAATATGAATGAAAAAAGCTAAAGAAAAACTGTTGGGAAATGTTTTTGGAATGCAAAGTACTGAAAAACAAAAACAAATCTGTTAAAGCATGCTAATTGCTATCAAGGGCTTAGCTCAAAGAGAAAAGTGCGGCTACTTTGCTCTTTAAAAGTACTTATTTAAATAGTTTTTTGTTTCTTTCTCGATTTCCACGAAGAAGATTCTTATAAAAGTAAAAGCTGAAGGTGGATCCACTCGTACAGCTTCGTTAAGGTTTACTAGTTTTCAACCGACTTCAAAAAAAGGAGGAGGTTCTCAATTCGACCCGTATGTTTTTTTTTCTGTTTGTTACGCGATAACTCCGTCAATTATGAACCGATTTGAACAAATCTTTTTTCGGCGTATAGGTAATACCTCAAGGGTGGTCCCATTTAAATTTAATAATAAAAAACACAACCCTCAAGGGTGGAAAATTGGGGATGAACTTTTTTATACGCAATATCTCCAATTTGAACGATAATTTTTATGTTGAATAGGTATTATCAAAAGGGTGGTTTCATGCGAATTTGAAGAAAACATTTCACCCCCAAGGGTGGAAAATTGGGGATGAACTTTTTATACGCAATATCTCCGCCGATTTATGAACCAATTTGAACGATTATTTTTTTGTTGAATAGGTATTATCAATTTTTTTTAATTTTTAGTTTTTTTTGTGTTCATGCATTTGAAGTCGGTTATATCTTTTTTTTAAAGTTATCAAAGTACTTTACTTGCTCTTATAAATTTGTGTGAAATGAGTTGATACAGGGAAGTTGTGCCTCGATAAATCATTTAAACTTTTATGTAATTCCATTCCATCGTGTCGTAATCAACCGTACTCTGCAGGGTTTAATACATCATCGGAAGACTGTCATAAATTTAAAAGTCCAACAGCGGGTATTGCGCTTATTGAGGTCCGATCTCGATTACAAAATGGCATGTTTATTATTTACACGTGCCTTCTTACATTTAACACGTAATATCCATGATTCAGTGTATTCTCACGGCTTGATAGCCGTGTAAGAGTTACTCGTATTTCGTAATGAGATATCGTTCCGACCATAATAAGTGGCATTTATTGCAATCTCCGTGTTTCGGGTGGCAGTAAATGCTGGTCACAAATATAAGTTGGTATAATTCCTTTAGCTTGGAAAGGCGCCAGAAGATTGGCGTCTTGATAACACCTGACAGTAAGGTTTGGGGTTGTAGAGTGGCATTTGTGGCAGATTTAATTTCCTGATCGCTGCGCTACGTCTCTACGGTGCAGCGGTGCAAGATTTATAAGTATATTTTAATATATCCTTGGACATTTACCTAGCGGCAACGTACCGTCTAAAGTTGAACTAAGCAAAATCTAATTATAATAGAGTAATTCGCGTTTTTACTATAAACGCCTTATTTTTAAGTGTCTCCAATGAAAACAAAATTCCTGTTAGGGGTCACTTAAAAATTAGGGAATGATGGTGAAAACGGGCATATAACACTTAAAATTCTAGCCACAAGTACCTACTCTCCCATTAGTTTTAACATGTAATTTATCTCTAGGGTAGAAGTTTCTCCATCGGTTTTCCCTATCTGCATTTGGCCAACGGGTCCTATATTACACTGTTTTTAACCACACACGGAGCTCTATCCTTCAATGTTTATGTAAATGAAATATTTTTACAGGTAAAACCAATCCAGTTGGTGGTCATGTACGGATGAAGTCAACACAAAAACACAAAATAACACTTATTAGAAAGCAAAGCGGGACAGGAAAATATTAAGAAATGGAAAAGGAAAAGCCCACAGCCCCGCCACTCAGAGATGTGGACGCCTACAGTTCCAAGTAAGTACTTTGGAAGCACTTATAGAACCGCTTTGAGATAAGACAAGAACTTACATGCTCTGCCGACAGCATATCAGAAATAATTATAATATAATATTGACTTTGTATATTGTGTTAATCACATTCACCAAATCATGAGGTAATTATTCATAATTTTGCAATTTATCACATTAACCGTAACACTTATATCTACCTCTATGACATTAATGAAATATTTTTTTGACTAATCTATTATATTTAAATGTAATGTAAATTTTTTTTCTGCGATTTCTCTGACATTATTTAAGTAAATAATTATTTTTAACTAAATTAATATTGATAAGTTTAATTTATAATTTTGCATGCCAAAATGTGGAAGATTGAGATACTAAAATACCTATAACACCCAGTTTTAATACCCATGTTCGCAAATTAAATATATTTGACTTGATTTGAATATTTTTGTTGCGAAACAGCACATATTAAAACTACACAAAATGTAACTACGAAAAAAGCTTTACTGTATGTCAAAAGATTTATAATAAATAATATCGTTATTTTCCATCGTTAGATATCATTGTTTTTATTAAAATTAAGCTTTCTTTACCGCAATAATTAACAATCATAAATTTTCAAGCAACAAATTGGCAATTATTCCTTGGATAATGCCTATTTCAGAACAATAAATAGCTTTCGCCCTTTTAATTTAACTTCATTTCTCTAAATGCGTTCGTGCTTTACAACGTTAATTTAAAACAATGTAAGTTATTGTTTTATTTTAATAGTTAGCAACCATTTTCTAATAGTCGATTCTAGAGAAAAGTTTCCATTAAAGTTGTCTCCTGTTTGTATGCCTTTTTTTAATTATTAGAAAGAAAGAAAATAATTTGATTCGGTAACAAAAGACATACACATAATTAATTTAGAAAAGAAATTAAATGATATATGTAGTTGCCAAAAAGGCTCACCCACTCAGTACCATCTTGACAGTGTAACTGGCAAGAGACTGATTTTCAGTGGGTGCATTTTATGCAGGGGTTTACAATAATTAATTACAAAAATAAAAATGAAATCATTAATTAATCAAATGAATCCGTCTCGTTAGGATAGAGGAAAGGAATCTTTGTTTTGCGATTGTTTGTGATGTAGTGAGATACTAAGGTGGAGATTACAAGAGGTTGTTAACCTTTTTTATTGAATTTATCGTATAGGTATGTTAAGCTTGTTACCAAGTCGTGGGTGTTGTGCGTGAGGTCAATGCTTTTTCGACACCATAACATCATATTTTAGGGTTAAAAGGATATGTTAAAGGAAATGTAATAATAGAATATTGGGTTTTATTAAGTTTACTCGGGTTCGCATCGTTTGAATCTGGATAGAAACAAATCAGAAGCGCTTTTGTGGCCTTTCAAACGTTTGAAAAATAAAGACCCAAACCGTTATTTTGTACGCTTGTACAGTCGACTTCATAAATATATTGCCATTGCCAATGTTTCAAAATATTGTTAGCGTTAATTATTCAAAATATTCAACTATTCATAAACACGTTTCAAAATATTGGCACTGCCAATATATTTATACTCTAATATATACTCGGCTGTACCTATGATGTTGTTTCCATTTCAATAATGGCAAATAGTAGTGCGACTTCCACTTGGCCAGGTTTTTATTTCCAAGTTATGTAAAAGATATCGACACTCAAACAAAATGTTCTCGGGATAATGTCGTAAGCGAATATCATTTGCGTATACGCGGCTAACACACCATATCTATGTCTCGATCTGTTTTAATTATACCAGTTTCTCTCCATTTTATGCTTGGAAATTACAACAGTCAGGATGGGGTTTCACTTTTAATTGCTGATTATGAATATTTTTTTACGTCCACTTACTATAATGTGCTGATTAGCTCCAAGTGTCCTACTCCATTTGAATATTAAGTGAGGAACTTGCGATCGATACCCTGTATAAACTGCACTAGTTTTCGAGTCGATTCCAGCTGATGTGGTTAGTTAGTGCAGTAAGTAGTTTCTGCGGTTTTTGCATACGAGTCATAGAATTCCAAATGAGATGAGGCTCAAAATATACATCACTACATAGGGTAAACCGACAGTCATTGGACGCTGCCAGTCATTGGACAAAACAACCCTTAAATTTTCTTAAAATGAATATTCCTTCAAATACAATGAATATTCCTTCAAAAAACACCCTTTTATCTCCATCAGTCGGAATCTCTGTTGTTGAAATAGAAATGCTATTTTTAATTTAGTAAAGAACTGTCCAATAACTTTCTTAAATGTCCAATGACTGGCAGTTTACCCTAGTATAAAACAAAGTTGCTTTCCGCTGCATGCCCCTATGTGTGCTTAGATCTTTAAAACGCAATGGATTTTGATGCGGTTTTTTTAATAGATAGAGTGATTCAAGAGGATGGTTTATATGTATACTTAGCACCCGTGCGAAGCCGGGGCGGGTCACTAGTTTCATTATCTTTGTCTGCGAAATTGTTAAATACGGTCTAGGTATTTAAGTCGTCTCATTCACAAGTCTATTTATTATTTATTTGCCATAATCAACGCAGCTTACTACAACATACCTATCATGAGCATGTCTCTTAAGGCTTATGGATATTACAAAACAATGCTAAATACTCTAGTATTACTTCAAGTAATAAAAAAATACAATTATAGACAGAATCTATGCTTGCCTTTGAATTGAGATTTAAGCGTAATGTAACACAGTATTATTTACGTAAGATCAACGAAGTCATCATTCTCGGTAATAAACACCCATCTGAGCAGTTACCATGACTGTTAATCTGATGGCAAATTTCCACAATCGTAATAATGGAGAGAACTTCATAATGGAAGGAGATCGAGTAGGCTTTATTGTGTACGTTCACTTTCAGGAAAGGTACAAAAAACAGTTGTGAAAATCTATCTCGTGCTGAAACTTTAGCACAAATGTATGAGGTATGAACCCAAAAATTCTGACATAACGTAACCTCGCAGGGTTACTTACTCTATTAAGCTTCATTCTATCCTGTGTACTCGTTATTTGAAATAGTATCTCAGTCGAGCCAGTCGACACTCCTACGTAGCGTATGCAAGCCTCCCACTTAGACACCAACGATCTGGTGAAGGGCAGCACCTAGATGCAGGCAGCGCAGGACCAGTCGTCATGGAAATCCTTAGGGGAGGCCTTTGACCAGCAGTTGACGTCATTAGCATAAAACATACGAACTACCTATACCTACTTTATACATTTCTATTGCGGCAAGATAAACGGACGTAAACAAAACCACAAAACTGCCATCAACCGGGCCATTACCCACGGTGGCATGTTGCAGCCATGATAGGCATGCGATGCACGCCATTCTGAAACATTCAACCAAGCAATAAATAAAATAAACGCGTCGTCTGTGTGTCCGAAGCTCAATTATAAATGTAGTTTATTTACAACAATATACATTTAACACAGACAAACAATGGGAAAATCAGCACTCTCGTGCTGATGATCGAATGCCTTCATAAGAAATACATAATCATAAATTGTTATACTTACTGAAATAGCTTCGTGAAAATAATAACAACGAACATTACTAATGAAGCTAACCCGTAAAAATATCACTTTACTTTTCACTTTTACATAAACAAACTCATAAAACAAAACAAAGCAAATTGAATAATAATAACGTCTAACTCCACACGGTAGAAACTCATTACAATGTTATAATATTACATCTCATAGTCGGACTCGCCATTGTGAAAATTATATTACAGATTTATTCATAGAGAAAACTAAAATTAGAGAGATGATTTAATTAAAATGTGTAAACACAAGGTAACAGGTTGGACTCGGAAGCTAAAGGATGTTCAAAATACGAAAATTATAATTTTATTCAAACCAGCTTTTCAATATTATAAAAACAGCGGAAAAGCAATCGCATCATGTTTCATACCTAGTGCCTAGTAGTAGTAGGTTTCGGTGAACCGAGGTGGAAATGACAAATAAACGCCAAATGAACTGTTTGTTTGTTTAGTTTTCACGCCTGAAGCACTTAAGCGATTTGGACGAATTTTGGACACACAACCCATTTGAGGTCTTTGCAAAAAAGCTTGCGTGGGAGATGAAACATTTAAAATTTTTTGACTTATTACATAAATACTGACTAAAAGAGCTTTGGAATTCACGTTCAGAAGTATTCGTTACAAAAAGCTCCTTTTTGTATCGAATTCTTGCTATTTATATTAAAGCCTTTAAATGGATTCCACCACGCTTAGAATACAAGATTTATTCAAATTTTCACGCGCAACTCTTCAGAATTAAATCAGCAAAGCTACTTACTGCATATTACCGATCAATTTACATGTCAATGTGTCATTGAATGATGCAATAAAAAATACACATGTCATCACATGGATCGATTGGGGTCAAATCGGAGACACTTCAGACCAGCGGGAGAGGACAAGTGGTATAACCTATATGTGATCAATAGCAACATAGTAAGCACTTGAACGGTGCGTATTAAAGGAGACATCAAATAGATTCGCTGTCAGAATCGAGGCTCAGTCATTCGATTATGTAGGTAAAGACGTAAAGTTTTTGAAAAGTAGAGTCGTCCTTACCCTTAAAATTTAATAAAACAGCCCAGAATCAGAGATTATTTACGGCGACGATAAGTTTAAAGTATTATAGCAAACAATAGGACCGCAATCACACTTGACATGATAAGTGATAAGGTCTTTGTGGAAATCCTTGGGGGAGGCCTTTGTCCAGCAGTGGACGTCTTTCGGCTGAAACGAACGAACGAACGATGATAAGTGTAGATAAAGCTTAGCGTCTGCCCAGTAAATTCTATTCATACTTAAAATACGTAAAAGAGGCCAAAGTATTAGTTTCCTGCAGTCGTCTAGCCATCTAAATTATTTAACAAACTTTTTACAGACAGTCTGAGTGATAAGCAGGATTTGCTTATGATCTTAACTAAACATTTTCTTGCACTCTTTAATACAGCTCAGACACATGATAATATTACGTAAATCCACTTTGTAGATACCAAAACCTTTTATTTTAATGCACATGTTATCACAAAATTGACATAATCTGAATCTGGTAACGTGTTAGCGGGATTACACGACGGGCCTGTCTTGTCTAGATATAAGTTTAACAATGTATTTTCGCACTAATTGAATATTCCGTTTCAGGGTAGAATTGGCGTACAATGGATCGAGAGAAGACTTGGACCCATATGTACCCTCCGACCACAGACCCCTCAGCTCGAGTACATCGTAAGTTTCAATTTAACTTTTATTTAAAAATAGCACCCAAAATTGGAAACCTTAAGCACATTCATTGGATTGAGATGAATAGATCAGTAGGATTTAATTTTTAAGCAAATCACAGACTTCAATCGATGCAAACTTGATAAAGTTAATTCTTTAATCCTTCAACTTCGTACTCCTATGTTCTTCTAATTTCTTTGTGGGTCCAATGACAGTTTAACTCTCCCCCGGGACAAACTTGACCTTCACTGGTAGGGTTTTCATTGGCGGTCAAGCTGTTGATTCTGGCTACACAGGAGTTGCAGCGATGGGAACGAGAGGTGGGAATAGTCCCGTGACTAAATAAATAAATAAAACATTAATTATATTTACTTACATTAACACTGCGTAATGTGTCTTAATTAAGTGTGGAGCCAGTTATTGTAATTATCACACCGATTACCTTACGCCAAATTGAACACAGGCGAAAACAGTCTGTACATTTTTTCTTCCAATGAAAGTATTCATTAAAACAAGACAATAAAGTGGATGCTAAATCTTTTCCGAAATGATTTTGAAATTGACCCCATTGGATTTAACACACAAGTAACAAAATACAATACAAAAATGTACTCTTTTTCAGTGATTCATCAGAGATCTTTAAAACAAATTAGAAAACGTAGGCTGGGTTGCACCATTTTACTTTAACTTTGACAAACGTCAAAAATCTGTCAAACTTCATACACAAAACACCGGTTATCGTTAAAGTTACGGTCAAAATTAGGTGGTGGAACTCAGCCTAAAGTTTAAAAAGTGTTCTTAACGAAGTCAGAAGTCTAAACGTAGAATTGAGTTCGATTGATCCAAGATTGCTCGATTGAAAATAATTGTTTGAAAGTGATTGCCCGAATCGAATTCGATAAAGTTAAAATCAACATGGTATCACCAGCAAAATCTTGGTTCAAGCACAAAGACCTTATTCTTAGGGTCATAAAACTTAACTAACCTTGTCAAATTATCTACTAATATTTTGTTAATTTACTAAGAACAGAAAATTAATTTCATGTCAATGAAAATTTTATTACGTATACGGTACAATGACTCGTGTACTCGTGTAGTCTATTAATAATTTCAATTCAAGTAACACATGCTCACTCTATGTGGTATATTTTGATTCCTGTTTGTGACAATTTTTATAGAGTATGTTTTATAATGGGCTTCAATCTCGCAACATTCATTTCATATTTTACTATCGTATCATTTTATAAAGGATGTGGACAATCTGTTCTATGTACATACTTTCATCATTTTATTTGTCCATGCGATCATTTCAGAGTGTGTAAAAGGAAAGGCTATAGCTAAATATACTTCGAGTTCGTTCCCTTAAAGTCACGGCGCACGGTGGTCCCGATTTAATAAAACATGGACATTGATGCTAGAAGCACGAATTTTTTTTTGATGGTTACTGCTATGATAACTAATAAGGCAAAAAAATATTACAATCCTACGACGTCTATTTCGTAGTAAAAAAAAATATATACATATTTTTTGTATGGAAGAAATTACGTTTCTGTCAATTTTTCGAAATTCTTTAACGATGTCAAAATGCCGATCACACATGTTATAAAATAAGTGATTCTGAGTATTTCATGCGAAGATACTTGTCACTTATCTCTGCGTACTTTTGAGTTATCGAGGGTTGAAAAATCGATTTTTTTATATTAAATATTTCCACGAAAAATTGCCAGAATTACAATATGGTGTATAAGGGACACCTTTGATGACACATAACAACGACTCGCACTCGCGCGCGCTCGTATGCATCAACTTTTACTAAAATAAAAAAAAACATTAAGGGAAATATTTAATACAACGTTGTATGTATAGGTCCGCTGGCCGTCAAAAAGTAGCTTATACGAGAGGTTGCCCAATTTACAATATGTCCATCATTGATAACTCACACAAATATCATCTCTCTCTGAAGGATAACAAGTTTTTTTTGTTTCCAGAAGCTTTTGATAGGATGGAAGCCCATAAATACTCTCTGAAGCGAGAATGAATCTCAAATTGCGATATTGCCATTTTGACAAATTACATGATGTAACTAGCGCTAACGTTTATCTTCAGGTAGACACAGTTTTAAGTTAAAAGATTGTCTACTATTTCACACTGTTTTTCGTTTTGGAACAGTTCTTTGATTATAGGTAGTCGCTAATTTCGTTTTGTTAGACTCTTTCAGTTTAGCACATAAAGCGTAAACTAATTCCTCCTCAGAATGATCTAAAAGTGTTAGAGAGCGCCTCTTCTTCTGCAGAAGAAGAATTTTGCATAAATCTTCAAAAGGTTTTTTATTTATACCAGAAGTCGATGGTTGCACATCTACTTCCGCAGTCTCATCAACTGGAGCGTCTTCCTCGGTGTTAACGTTGTCTATGCGTTGTGTTAACTCGGTAAAAAACATTGTTTAAATCTATATTTTTACAATTCGGCCAGACAATTTCAGAGTCTAGCCAATGCGAATTCTGGTGCAAAAATGTCTTTTGGGCTCTGCTGGAAGCAGACCATATCTTCTTTGATATATTTCTTGTAAAATTACGACTTAATGATTTGATAATTACTCAAATCTTCGGAAGACAATTCAATGCCAATACGTTCGTCATTTTAGTCTGAAATGGTCTGGCCGAAATGTAAAAATATAGATTTAAAAAATGTTTTTTACCGAGTTAACACAACGCATAGACAACGTTAACACCGAGGAAGACGCTCCAGTTGATGAGACTGCGGAAGTAGATGTGCAACCATCGACTTCTGGTATAAATAAAAAACCTTTTGAAGATTTATGCAAAATTCTTCTTCTGCAGAAGAAGAGGCGCTCTCTAACACTTTTAGATCATTCTGAGGAGGAATTAGTTTACGCTTTATGTGCTAAACTGAAAGAGTCTAACAAAACGAAATTAGCGACTACCTATAATCAAAGAACTGTTCCAAAACGAAGAACAGTGTGAAATAGTAGACAATCTTTTAACTTAAAACTGTGTCTACCTGAAGATAAACGTTAGCGCTAGTTACATCATGTAATTTGTCAAAATGGCAATATCGCAATTTGAGATTCATTCTCGCTTCAGAGAGTATTTATGGGCTTCCATCCTATCAAGAGCTTCTGGAAACAAAAAAAACTTGTTATCCTTCAGAGAGAGACGATATTTGTGTGAGTTATCAATGATGGACATATTGTAAATTGGGCAACCTCTCGTATAAGCTACTTTTTGACGGCCAGCGGACCTATACATACAACGTTGTATTAAGTATTTCCCTTAATTTTTTATTTTATTTTATTAAAAGCTGATGCATACGAGCGCGCGCGAGTGCGAGTCGTTGTTATGTGTCATCAAAGGTGTCCCTTATACACCATATTGTAATTTTGGCAATTTTTCGTGGAAATATTTAATATAAAAAAATCGATTTTTCAACCCTCGATAACTCAAAAGTACGCAGAGATAAGTGACAAGTATCTTCGCATGAAATACTCAGAATCACTTGTTTTATAACATGTGTGATCGGCATTTTGACATCGTTAAAGAATTTCGAAAAATTGACAGAAACGTAATTTCTTCCATACAAAAAATATGTATATATTTTTTTTTACTACGAAATAGACGTCGTAGGATTGTAATATTTTTTTGCCTTATTAGTTATCATAGCAGTAACCATCAAAAAAATTTTCGTGCCTCTAGCATCAATGTCCATGTTTTATTAAATCGGGACCACTGTGCGGCGCCGCGTCGTCCATTGAAGTATCTGTGGGGTGAGAACCCCTACAAGCACGTTGCGGAGGGGTGTCTAGTGAAATTCGCATTCACCGATAGATGGCGTTGTGCTGACTTAGCTCGCGATATCGAAGAATTTTTTGGGATCTTGAATTGGAGTACCTCATATTTTAACGTCACTTAGAATAAGAGGTAGTGGTTTTTCGATAATGCTTGGTAGTTACTTATAAACATGTAGGCTTTTTGATCTTTAGGTAGGGTTTTTAGTCTTAGGGTAGGATTTTAGTCTTAAGAGTAGGCTTTATCTTAAGAGTAGGCTTTTATCTTTATAAGTGACGCAATTTCAATGCATAATTGATTAATCGTACCTGCATAAATTATTTTTGGAAGCTGCTTCGAAACCTTCCGTAAAGGATGTCGAAGTGGCTTAATATATTAACAATGCTCCATGGATCCATTGTGCCCGTGGTGAAAGAGTGGAATTCATTGATTCCTAAAAAGACATTGAATGAATCTTTGAGTGAATGATAGTTCCGAGACTTAAACAATGCGATTAGTCTTTACTTTTGCTTTCTATTGCCGTATTAGATTGTTTTGTAATAAACACTTTACACAGTACCACAGAATAATAATAAGTACTACAGTACTAATTCAGAAATTATTAATGAAAGCATATACGAATGCTTATTGTATGCTCTGACTAAAATCTGAAAATTTCAATAATTTAGGGTCTTAATTTTAAATAGTATTAAAATGATAATAGACTACTTGTAGATTCGTTGTAGATAGTCAAAGATAATTTTGACTAGTGCGCTTGTGTGTGATTTTTTTTTATGCACTACGAGGAAGCTCTTGGCCTGTATCTCACCTGATGGTAAGTGACGATCAGGCCGAAGGTGGAAGCGAGCTTCACCCGGAATCCTCAACCACGGAGGAACTGGCTATCTTACCTCTAACTGCCGGAACACAATAATGCTGTTAACATTGTTGTTATGGCGACAGACTTAGGTAAGATGGTGGTAGCTAGCCAGGCGGACTTAGAACAAGCCCTACCACCAACCAAACCGAACAGAAAAATCTGCCCCCACTGGGAATCGAACCCGGGACCTCTGCGTCTGAAGCAGGTGGTCTTACCACTAGACCACAGAGGCGGCTTTTTTCTTAGATGTGTATTAATAAATTGTTATTTCTTTGCTTTCCAGGAGTTTCGGCGCGTTGGCCCATCTCTTAAAAGCCTCCCTGGGTTCGGGGGTGTTGGCCATGCCGCTGGCCTTCAAGAACGCGGGGCTCGTGGTGGGCTCCGTGGGCACCATCGTCATTGGCTTCATTTGCGCACACGTCGTACATATACTGGTAAGATTACAGAATTTTTTGGATCGATTTCACTTTAATATTAGTTGACGATGCCAAATTACGTCTATGTTTGGTAAAATAATTAACTTTAAAAAAAAAACCGACTTCAAATGCGTGAACACAAAAAAAAACTAAAAATTAAAAATATTGCGTATAAAAAAGTTCATCCCCAATTTTCCACCCTTGGGGGTGAAATATTTTCTTCAAATTCGCATGAAACCACCCTTTTGATAATACCTATTCAACAAAAAAATAATCAGTCAAATTGATTTATAATCGGCGGAGATATTGCGTATAAAAAAGTTCATCCCCAATTTTCCACCCTTGGGGGTTGTTTTTTCTATTATTAAATTTAAATGGGACCACGCTTGAGGTATTACCTATACGCCGAAAAAAGATTTGTTCAAATCGGTTCATAATTGGCGGAGTTATCGCGTAACAAACATAGAAAAAAAAAAACATACGGGTCGAATTGAGAACCTCCTCCTTTTTTGAAGTCGGTTGATTACTGAATTTTTGTGATCGATCTATTTCGGTGAAAATTAAGTGCCTATAGGCCTGATTTTATTCGATAATAACTCCTGGTATAACTTACACATTGACAGACCTACAGGACTGCCATTGTACGGAAATGTTACTGATTATAATTAACTTTTTNTAAAATAAGACAGTTTCAGTATGGGAAATATGTCAAAACTGACAATTTATTCTGAGATTAATATTTACTCTTGTTTAGTCGAATCCACCCTAAATGTATTTGTTTGATAAAATAGTAATTGGAACTTGAATTATTATGAAAGTGTAATGGTTTTAGCAGTTTTCTTTTGACTCGGATTGTTAAAAATTACATTTTCAAGCCTCAATTGAACCTTTGAATAATTTATTTTGATGTAGTAGAGACAAGAGAAAAACAATAATAATCATTAGGGGGATGAAATAGAAGAAGAAAGCTCGTATGGGGAAACAATAATTTGGTTAGGGACCTGAAATGTATAAAATATGAAATTTTAGAGTGAGAAAAAAAGATGTTTCGGAAAAGTTAACATGTTATAACATGTTTAAAGGTATAGACTGAAAATGGATTGTAAAATGAACTCTTATAAAGCCTATAGTGGCATTTGGTTCAGTTTCTGCTACCTCTAGTGATATTTACAGCTATGAGCTGATACGGAAGCAATAATAGAACTTAAAACCACTATCTGAACCCCTAAAGCGCTACTATACAGGTAAAAGTTGCAAAATAGGCTGCTATTTCCACTAATGTGCTAGTCCTATAGGACCGTGTTTCGCCTTGTGCGTGATAAATACTCGATATTGACGAGGACAAAGCTGCAAGCATATATTCGGTAGAGATACATCACCAACACGGTACCTAAGCTACGTCCCTTTCAAATTTCAAGTGCCTACGTATAGCCGTTTAGGATGTGCGTTGATATGTCACTAAGTCAGTCAGTTTCTCCTTTTATACATTTAGATTATTTATTATGACCCACATAATGAAAATAGCAGCAGTTGAATGCTCACTTAATAAAGAGCATAATATTCCTAAAAATGAGCATCCTGTATGTGACAGTAGATACCATTTTTAGTATATTAGATCTTTGATAACGTGTCACTGACATTTCAGTCAGCACAATCCAATAAACGCTATTCCTGAATTTGTCAGCTCCAAATGTTTAATTTGATAATTGTTACAGAGTTTGTTGTAATTCACTTAGGACTAAATTAGCATTTTCAAAATACTGAAACTACAAAGCCTAATTTCTTAAACTCAGGCGTCTCATCGTAGAACGTGAAAAAGTAAAATCATCATTAACACAGACTCTAATTAAGATCGAGAATGATCCAAAGTAAATCAAATAAGGCCGGCAAAAACCCTCATAATAATAAAGCCTTGTTTGCTAGACAAAATTTATCTGCAACGCGAACGTCATTTGCATTAAATATTATCGTAATAGAGTTCGAATCAGAGGGTTCAAAAAATCTTGAAATAGAAACCCTTTTTCTTCATACAGTTTTTATTCTCTAAGGTTCACGAACTGCACAAAGGTGTTCATAAGTAACTACGAGTAAGTCTTTTCTTAATATAATTCGAGTAATTCACTTCAAGGCGATTTTCAAGTAAACTTCTTTCAAATTTTGGTATGAAGAAGGAATGATGACGTTTCACAAAATTCATAAGGCAATTCGTCAAAAGACCATAGTAATAGATTGGAAAATAGAGACAGCAAGCAAAATATCCCTCGCAGAACCGATGAAAGGCAGTCCCCATTAGCGAGTGGTTATGCGCAAAGTATGGACGTGTACAAGTGCCCTGGAAAATGCCTGTACTGAATAAACTATTTGAATTTTGAATTTGAATTTCCCGGCGGAAAAAGGGTTCCTTTCAGAGCCTTCTGTAGAGTCATTTGATTATAAATACCGCAGAATTTACTCCACCAAATTAGGGCGAAATAAATCATGGGAAAGTGACAAGGATCGGGCCGCCTGCCGTCGAAGGCTAGCAGGTGTGAACACAATGCCTGAGCATTTTAACGGCAATTCCAATTAGTCATGACATCGAAATTTAATGAAGAACTTGTACGACAGAACATACATTTGTTTATTTGGCCTACAATATACGCGTATTGTAGGAAATAAAAAGTATTGTGTAATTAAATAAATAAATACACGTGAAGTTCTGGGGTAAACATTTTTTTTTTTTATAAATCTTTGGACAATTTCACACAGCGCCAGCTAGCCCCAAAGTAAGCAACATTTATTTAGGTAAGACAAAAACGTATGATTTAGAAAACTTACATACTTACAAAGACACTGTTCTACGAGTAGTTTTACAACATTCATTCAGTTAAAATCCACGCTATCCTAACCGGTTACTACAAAAAAATCTATGATAAATGAATGATCAGCAACATAAAGGTGCTAAACCATTTTACTAATAATGGTGAATTCAACGCGCTTCTATTATATTCACAAAGCCTAATTATTCTGTAATTAATTATACACCCGAGATAAAGACTAACGATACCTCCCAAGAAACAAGGCCACAATGAAAACACATTCAAGAATTAATAACTTTCGCAAATCACAACTTTGCGTTTAATACTTTATGGGCAACCAAAACATTGTGATTCTAGGCAATATAATAAATAAGGTATATTATAGAGATGTTTCGTGATTTTACTATTTCCCAAAATTAAATATAAAATAGCAGGACAAAGGTATGAATTCAAATTCGAAAACATTTGATTCGGCACGTGAGTCTTAAAGCCGGCTCCAGACGGGTGTAACGCGTAATGGAATGTATCGTGTAATGTAATAGAAATAGTAAAGGCAGCAAAAGGGCAGCACTTTACATGTAATGCTCGTTAGTGCCGTCCACTTACACGGTGCATTACATTACACATTACACCCGTCTGGAGCTGGACCCGCCTTAAAAGGTTGAGTAAACGCGTTATTCGTTACAAAACTGAAAATAGAACCTGGGTCATCCGGGTCGGAAATCCGCTCTACTGGACCTCAGGGAAAATCCTTAAATAAATATGCGACTGTATTAGTCTGTAAGCACCTCAAAAAGGCATTGTACTTTAATACATTTCAAGTTAGCAAAAACAGCACGTGGGCATATAATAATTACGTCCATTGTTATGTTAATATAATAATGATGTAATAGCAGAATAAAGATGTTACAAATTGAACTCGATACAAGTCTTATTTCTCACAAATAAGACCTACTTTTGCAATGAAACTGTTACACTTTATGTGAAGTTATGTAGACAAAAGAACGTCAGTAAGTGCCGTTTGTTTCATGTCTACTTATCACATAATCGCTAATGTAACTTTATGACACGCTTATATTAACGTGATTATTTTAAATGATTTTTACTCACGTCATAAATTTAGAAACAGTAGATTCAGTATTAGTTTTCTCAATATTTGGAACCCGTTAATCCAACTTAATTAGCCTTGTATGTTGACATGCCCTTATAAGAAGTTATACAGTTCGAAAGACCTAATAAACAAAAAGTAAATGTTATGTTCCAAATATAATATCACGACTTAGACGATTTAGCAGACCTTAAAATATTTACTTGGCAAAGTTCTTAGTTTTGTAGGCCCTAGGAGGTAATAACACAACGGCAACTTTCTAACTGCTGAAAAGTTACGTAAAGTTAATCGCTTCTATACCCATCCCGAAAGTTACTATCTGTTGACCTAGTTTTAGCGTAAAACTTGAAAATTAGGTCAGGTTTACCAACTTCTAAAGCTCAGCTGGTCAGAGCAGTCGCGTGACAAGGGTGAGATCGTATGTTTATATCCCACCTGAGGTAGTAAATTTTTTCAAGGGAAAACCGTACTTCGTTCGTTAATTTTAGCCAAGTAACAATCAAGGCCTCTTCCAAGCATTTCCACATGACCGATCCTGCGCTGCCCGCATGTAGGTCCATTTCACGACCTTCAGCAGATTGTCGGTCCTCCGAGTGGGAGGCCTACCCATTGTAGTGTGGGTCCCACTTCCGGTACGTTTTGTATGAATATGAAACCATATATGTTTTGGGACGGGATATGCCCCAATTGTCATGTCAGGGGGCCCCTAAGGACACTAAAATAAATTATAATTCTTGACAACTTTCCCCTTGCTTCTCAGATACCACTTTCGGTGGACATACTTACCTTATTATCCCCTTATAAATTAACATAATGAGCCCGCGAAACGACAAGACACGAATTCCACAGTCCAAATAAGATTAAATATTTCACAGCTTTTGGAACTTGGAAAATGAGAAATAATATTATTAAGAAATTCGCTTTCGTTTATTATTTATCTTAATATTTTTGTAAACGTTTCTCTGCTTTCTTTAACACAGGTAAAACAGTGAATTATTCTTAAAGTATTTATTTTATTACTCAAAGCAGTATAGTTAATATTCATTTAAATTTTGTTCAATAAATCCAATATATTATGAAATAAACTTTTCATGATTAAATTACAAGAAGCTGTCTTTCAACTTTAATATCAACACCACCGCCGTGGCAGCAATGAGGGCTATCGTTTTTATACTTAACAGTTGGCTCCCCTGGCGATTGACAGAACCGTACTCTACAGTGGCGCCATCTTGATGAGTGCAAATGCGATAGTCCTCCTACCACTTTAGCGCTCACAAGTTGGCGCCACTGTCTTCGCTACTAGCAAGTGACAGGACCTTACTCTACAGTGGCGCTAACTGGTAAGCGCTAAAACGATAGCCCTCATTCGACTACATCAAGGGACTATTTTAAGTTAAGTTAGTTACCTGTACAGTGGAGTATGCACGTTTCTAGTAGGATGTTTTTATGGTGTCTTGCAATGAACTACTAAAAAAACAGTTATAATCTCCAAGCCGTCTTTCCAAAAAGCCTAGCCGCATCCTATTTGGTTGTATAATGAAAACAAAACAATTAAGAGAAAAGAATTACCTAACGTGAAAAGTCGTTCCAGCAATTAAAAGGCATAATGGTTCCCACAACATCGCTAGAAAACTATTGTTATCTTCTAAATACAATAGAATAATTTGCGAGGAATATACTGGATTTATTATATCATGTTATTTGGTAACAGATTTCGATAAAGTCGCATGCATTTTGAAGCAAAGATTACATAAATAAATATAAACATTTCAATACTCTTTAGTGGGAAAAAGACTACAGTTCCTCTTTAAAAAACTTACGTTAGTTGGTAATATGAATTCTGCCATCTAGTATCTATATCCTAGCACTTAGCAAGCTCTAGCTGGTTAAGCCTAAATGACAGTCAAATTACAGTTAGTTAATAGTACTGTTTTCTAATGCACGAATATGAACTTAATCGCACAGGGACTTAGTCGTACTATCGCATAATTAAAGCTACAACTTTTGGCAGTTGACAGCGACAAAACCTAATGCTGAGCTCTAACTTTCAGAGTGAGTGATTAAACTTGCAGAAGGATAAGCTTAGTCAATTTAACAAACATTACTAGCCTGTTATGTAAATGGTTTGTTTCAGAACCTTAATTTGCAATAAAAATGGAAATGAGTAATTAAGCTTAGAAAGCTTAAAGGTTGTGTGAAATAAGATATAGTGGAAATTAAAATGGTACATCTATTTATTTATCATGGTGACATTTAGGTATAAAACTAGTTGATTAATTAATGGGCATGACTGTTCATGAGATTTTACAAGTAAATAGAACAATTTATAGCAAGTAGGTACAAATCTAATTTAACAGCTAATTAGACTAACCTATGACAAAATTTATAGTTAAAGGTTTATGATGACCCACAAGTCTGGCATACTCAGGCAGAATTCTAATAAAATTAGATAGCAATTTCTGTAATTAGTACTACCCATTTCATTTGATAGAACTTAGAAACCTATAGAGATTAGTACCTAATTATTTGGGATCTAGATCAAAGCATGAACCCAGAATATCTTTTAATTAGGTTGGCTTACTTTTTGTGCAAAGGAATTGAAACTGCCCGTTAAGGATCCTTCTAGATTTGCGAAAATAATTCGCCCACATTAACAGGCCTTGAATAAACAAGGCATTTAGGCAAAGAGTATCCTAAGCCAATATCAGTGTTAGCTCAAGTATAACAAACACTTGAGAACCTTTAGGTTTAGCCTAAATGCTCGACCATTTTGATTAATATTATGAAACACTTCATAAGCAATTAATATCAACACGGTTGAGACATGGTTCTACGAGTATAGGAGTACTTTTGAAAGATGCTGCTTTGAAAGGTGGCAGTGACAGTTTTTAGTGTTAAGTTCAAATCTGCAATACTTTGTCTGTAGACGACAAAATAATCTAAATTAAATGTTTATTGACAACTAGCTACCTGACCCAGCTTCGCACGAGTGCTATGCTCTTGGATGACTCTATCTATTGCTTTTCAGCAAAGCATTTTCAGCAAATGTTTCGTACATACAGCGGAAGCGACTTTGTTTTATAATATGTAAAGATTAAGAGTAGGCGCTCACCGTTGATTTTTTATCGGCCGATAGTTTAATCGGGCAGTTGATCAGTATGGGCATGTATGGGAGTGCGCACACTATTCCGATTCGAGTTGGCCGATTTTTCATACAAATTAAAATCTGGCACAACTATCGGCCAACTAACATCAGGTGATCCGTCTGCTCGTTTGCCTCCTGTCACATAAAAAAAAACTAATAATCAACCGTGTGTGCGCCTACTCTTAACAATTATTATTAATGATTCATTTTCAAAGCTTTGAGATTACAATATACTCGTAATAAGTAATATAGGTACTTTTGAACATTTAAGAACTTAAGATCATCATATTAACGTTTCCAATCTATTTTGAATAACATAAGAATATCTCAAAATTTACATACAAGAGTTCTCTAGATAGTTTTTGAAAGTGACTACACAGAACCAATTTGCCCATTCCAGGTAAAAACCTCCCAACAACTTTGCGTGGAAATGAAGAAGCCTGCCCTGGGCTACGCCGACACGTGTGACCTGGTCTTCCAGAATGGTCCCAAACCTGTCAGGAAGTTCGCCCCTTTTGCAAGGTATGTATGTACCTATTCCCATTTTTTAAGGGATCTTTTCCGAAGAACAGATCGGTTTCTTACGGGGCACTGCAAACGGGATATTCGTGTGCATTACTAAATGGAATCCTGCAAAAAAACAATACCTGCAAAAATATTCCGTGGAGAAGAGCCTAATACTAAATGGAATCCTGCAAAATACAATACCTGCAAAAATCCTCTGTGGAGAAGAGCCTAATACTAAATGGAATCTTGCAAAATACAATACCTACAAAAATCTTCTGTGGAGAAGACTTTACGCTAACTCTTTTACCGCTCCTGCTCGAAACGAATCGAAAAGAAAAGTCGAGAACGGCAAACATTATCCCAACTAGTCCCAACTAATATTATAAATGCGAAAGTAACTCTGTCTGTCTGTCTGTCTGTTACGCTTTCCCGCTTAAACCTCGCAACCGATTTTGATGAAATTTGGCATAGAGATAGTTTGAGTCCCGGGAAAGAACATAGGATAGTTTTTATCCCGGTTTTTGAAACAGGGACGCGCGCGATAAAGTTTTTCTGTGACAGACAAAATTCCACGCGGGCGAAGCCGCGGGCGGAAAGCTAGTTTCTAATAAATATTCTTTGAGGTCGGAGGAAGGTTCATTTAAAGAGATAAATTAGAAAACTTGGTGGCGACATTTTGGATTTTGGAAAAGGCTTTGAAAATGAGTTTTACTGAGTTTTACTGAGTTTTTTACTAATAGGCGGGTTAACTTCGAATTAATACTTATTGTATTGTACTCTATGATGTAGGTGAGGGTTATTAGATATTTAGTAATCAGTAACTAAATTGTAATGATACCGTGATTCGATGTAACACATTGTAAAGCTAAGTCAAACCCACAATACTCAATGGGGCACTGGAGTCTTGTTTTCAATTGTTTCATCCTAAAATAGAGGGGAAAAAGCCAAAGGAGATATTTTTAGCAAAAAGAAGACTAAAACCCCTATAATAACAATTACGAACTTCGATTATGACAGTCAATAGCAAACAACAAAAAGTTGAAAGTGCGTTCAACTCGCATGGTTATGTAGTAGGATGATGTCATAATAGATGATCGCTTCCCACGGTCTCAGCAACCCGACCCTAAGCATGTTGACCTGGAGACCTTAATGTCAAAACAATGACTGTTTTTGCAGATATTATGTACTCTTATAAGAATTTAGATAAAGATAAGCGACTTTTAAGTTTAGACCAGGATTTTGAAAGGCCATTAATATTGTCAATTCTAGCTAGATTACATTTACTAATACGAGTACAAAGTACAAGGTACATAGTAAAATATAATTACTCTAAATCTGAAAAAGTTACTAATATATAATCTAATTATTCCTAAGGGAATTCATTGCTTACCATTTAAATATGCTTAGTGGTTTCAAATTTCCAAACAGAATTACTCTGTAAACCAATTTACTTAATTCCCAGTATCCTCATCGGGATATCCGTCTAAGAAAATTTCCAGTTTCCATTTATTCTCCCCTTTAAAAGAGAATAGCCAGGTGTCTGTTCCTTTGTACGAGTAATTGCGATCAAATCAAAGCAAATTCGTCCGTATTTCAAAGCATCTGCAAGTATCATAGAGACTAATGTAAGAGCAATCGCGTTCACAGCTACGTAATAACTCCACCGGTGCTGTATCAATCGGTCAGTCACTTCAATGGGAGAAATTGAATGGGATATCTAAATAAGTAATCGCAAGATCAATTTGCGGAAAACAATTTAGTCACAAAATTGTGTTATCACTAGCACCAACCCACGACAGAATTTGAATTGCGATAACATTTCAGAGAAGTAGGTAAAAGTACGAGTATAACAAATTGCAATCTATCCTATGGATCCTATGGACCTATGGCACCTATGGACTGTAGGTATCTAATGTAAATCTTATAAGTACCTTTAATGAAAAAATATCCTCGAAAGCATAAATTTTACTGTGCCATAGTCAACCTTGCTATCTTCAATTTTACACGAGCTTATTTTTGTGCAAGATTGCCAATTTTTACTGGCGCGAAAACCATCCGGAGACTTTAAAGGTTGTACGAGTAGGTATACACGACGAATCGAATCGGAAATTAATGTTATTTCTGTGTATTCAGTGAATGGGAAATAATAACAATCAATGGATAAAAAAATCTTTGAGTTCCAATTCGTCATTATCAATGATAAAAATTAATTGTAAAATAACTCAAATATGAAATATCTGGACTGTTATGATAATCAGACTTTTGTCTAAGTACTGCCAAGGAATGGCACTCGTAGGAAATGTGAAACAGCTGTAATTGCAAAATTTAATTTGCTAAACCTTTTATTACAGAGAGCTGGCTGATTGGGCGCTGGCATTAACACATTTGGGGGCGTGCTGCGTCTACGTGGTTGTCGTGGCCGAGACTTTCAAACAAGTAAGTTTCTGCCTTCATCGCTATCGTCATCATCAACTCTTTAAAAGCTGGCAGTTCTTCTCGCCCATGAAATGCTAAAGACTGACTCTATGTCGTTTGCGTAAAACAGCTTCTTACAACCCTAACTTGGTTGTCGGTCCACCGAGTGGGTTTAATTTAATCTTGTCGCCTACTACGTTAATACTGCACTGCGGTTTAAAATGACAGCTGACTAGCCATAAACACAATGCACATAGGTTAATGAAGTTTGAAACTACCGTCATTTGTACTAAAGACGATCTTAATAGATTTATTAAAAGTGACGTTTATTTAATTCACGTCTTCTCAGATTTCAGAAGTCTACGGCGGCCCGATGTGGTCAGTCAAGATCTACTGCGCACTCTGCCTGGTAGTTCTAATCCCTCTCACCCAGATCACCAAGCTGAAGTACCTGGTGCCATTCTCAGCGATAGCCAACTTCGTGTGGCTAGGATCCATCTGCATATCCATCTACTACTGCTTGAGGGACCCGCCGAAGGCTTCGGATAGGAATCTTGCCACTTCTATTACGAGCATACCTACATTTATAAGGTTAGTGAGTTATATTACCTTGGCTCTATCTGCCGTTGTGTAATAGTATCTATCGTTTGTAGTCGCCGAAGACTAAAACATCGAGAGAGCTTTCGCTACCTATTCTCATTGTTGTTAAAAATTGTATTGAGCTAAAAACACATAGAATTTGAAAAAANTTAAAAATATCTTGACCAGCTATCGAAGTGCAAGAAATTTCATTTGTGAGGTGGTTTTGTTTGATGTTTGACAATTCCAATCATCTTGATGGCAGCAGTTCATTTTCTCCGAGTCTCTTGACAATCGCTTTAGATACTACTTCCTAATCATTTCTCTGTCCTTAGTACAAGACCTCATGGAAACAAAACAAAAACTGTATTAGCATCACTTTGTATCTTCCAGCACATGCCTGTTCGCGATGGAAGGCATCGGCGTGGTGATGCCCATTGAGAACGAGATGACGAAACCGAAGCAGTTCCTGGGCTGTCCAGGAGTTCTGAACATCGCCATGAGCGCTGTGGTCCTGCTGTACGGGTTCGTCGGCTTCGTTGGCTACCTCAGCTACGGAGAAGATGTCAAAGGCAGTCTGACTCTCAATTTGCCGGCAGATGAAATGTAAGAGAATTTTATAAAGAAGTTAAATATGGTTCAAGTTCATTAACATCAGGCTATGATGATAGTCTTTATAATCTTTAAAATTTTAGGAGAAATTAATTTCGTTGTAAAAGGAGAGGTAATTTCAATACATTTTTGTCGAGAAAATTGTAGATAGCCCGATGATAGCCAATTAATATCGGAAGGAAAAGATTAGTCGAGGACAAAAATATTTTTAAAACATAATTTTCATATCAAAGGTCATCTCAAACGATCGGCCCAAGGGGATCGTTATAATTTGATTAAATTAGTGGAAATAGGACAAAGGCTATCACAAAATTTACATTATTTCTAAATGACTTTTCCTCTATCAACCATCATAGTTACATTTTTCATTTTAATTTGATGGATAAACGACCTCTAGAGAGTTTAGAAAAATCTGATTTTAATGTTTGCAACAAAATTTTGTAGAAAATTATAGAAAATCTAATATTTTATATTACNGGTATTCCTTTCTTAATGTACCTAAGCTACGTCCCTTCCAAATTTCAAGTGCTAAATTTGTAAACTATGAAGGGATATGTTTAATCATTAGTATAACATTAATAGCAGGGTTACCATCTGAAATCGGCTATTATTGGCTATTTATGGCTAATAACTGCTTTTAATCCGTTACTAGCCAATTGCTATTAATCGGATCATTAGCACTTACCTCTACGACTAATAGAGGCGAAGCAGTAAAGAAAAATGTTGCAAGCACGGGAAATAGTATTTAAACTATTTTCACTCGTACGAAGTTGATTTTGTGGCGTCAAACCTTGGACCAGGCATATGGCTAAGCAATGAAATGGTACAGGAGGGTACAAGGAAGAGGGGCAGCCACATTAGGTAACACAGAGTCGTCCAGGAGAGTGCCAGGAAGAGGTGCAGCAACCGCAGTTAAGGAACGGCTGGGACGAACCAAGGATAAGCGAATCAAACTCGTGAGCCTTGTTAGGGTTACACTGGTTAAGGCGACCCTTTACAAGACTTGGAAGCATGTGGGAACAAGCCATTGGACGTGGAGAGGGTCATTAATTATACGTATATTTTCTACTATGCCGAACTTTAGCGCGAGAACGGTTTGTCCAAAACATATGAATTTGGTCTTATTCAATGCAGGATTAAGTGCCCTTTAACCGTCATGAAGACCACTTTTCGATAGGGTAAGTCCTTTACGCGGTATAACCGGAAAACCGAAAAAATGCCCCTTTCGGGGGCCCCCACCACTTAAGCACAACTCCGTCGAAGTCGAAAACTTAGGAGAGTCTTAATGGGCAACCAATGAAGCCATTAAAGCAAAAAATCTTTTGTAGGAATTATTTCCGATTTAATCAATTTTTGTGTTTAATTCTACTGGCCTATTTTATTTCCAGCCTTGCCCAAACAGCCAAGATCCTGGTAGCGTGTGTGATGATCCTATCGTACGCGTTGGTGTACTACGTCCCGGTTGATGTAGTCTGGCGCAGGGTCCAAGACAAGATTCCCGCCAGGTTCCACTGGTGTTCGGTTGCTGGCATCAGACTGGCTGGAGTATTTCTCACAGGTAAGCAATTTGCTGAAAAAATGACTGTTTGGGATTTCTGTGTAGGTTCTCTTTTTATATTGGGGCTTTAGGGCTACTGAGAGTCCACAGGGTTCTGAATCCAAAGCAGAAACAAATTCTCTGTTCTATCTGTTCAACTTTTTTCTGGGTCCGTAATTTAAAACACTCTCAACTATACACATTGAGAACATATCCAAGCCTGTAGGTGATGTAGTCATTCAAATTGATCTTTATCATTTGTCAGATAAGGATCAGATCATTTATAATGATCATTGTATAAATAAATGCTCAATCTAACACAGCTTTCTTATAAAGTATTTCTTTTCCAGTCGGATTCGCCACTGCAATACCCCGGATAGAGCTCTTCATGGAGTTAGTCGGTGCTGTCTGTCTCTCCATTATGGGTCTACTCCTCCCAGCCGTGACAGAAACTGTCTGGCGATGGGGCAAAGACGTCGGGCCCTGCCACTGGGTCTTCTTCAAGAACTCTGCCATTGTCTTCTTCTCAATCGTGGCCATGGTCTCTGGGGTCGCTTACTCCATCATCACGATGCTGGAGTCGCTGTGATATAGTTTTAAGATGTACTGTAAATAAGCCATTAACTTAATTTAGATTAACAATACATTTATTTTGACATTTAGAGATTTTCTTTTCTTTCTTTCTATATTTTATTTCTGTTACTATCGCTAATTCACTCTATTTAAAGAACATTCAACTTTTATTTCCGTTTCTAACGATATCGAATTAACGAGTCATTGTCCTGAGGCAATGTCAAGTTTAATTCAGTCTTCTAGTCTGAATTAATTGAACTTTATGAATCCCAACGAAAATCATTCAATAGCATAACGTTACACCAACTGAATATTTAATTAGAAAGTTTTGGGGCCAAATCGGTGAGAGACAAGAAAGCCTATCGAGCTTGATCAAAGGCAAGCCGAGGATTCATTAATTTTATATTAAAGCTTTACATAGTCTCGGTGGTAATGGAAAGATAATTCTACTATTAAGTGTAAACCGTTACAGTTAGGTTGCTATGGCAATAATATTAGAAAATATAGAATATTGAAAATACTGAAACCTGCCATTACTCTTATGAATATGAAATGAGGATATAAAGAGAAGGAAATCTATATATATTAAAGGAAAGTCGTGTTAGTTACTCCACTTATAACTCAAGAACGGCTAAACCGATTTAGCTGAAAATTGTCAGGGAGGTAGTTTAGAGCCAGGAGAAGGACATAGGATACTTTTTATCCCGTTCGAAATAAAAAAAGTCTGCTTATTTATTGCCATTAAGGCGGAACAAAGTTCGCCGGGTCAGCTAGTTATTAATAAATCAGACGAGATAATGAATAAATAAGTGACTGTCCTGGGAATATATTCTAATAAAGAATATTATACTTGCATAAATTTCCTGTTACGGAGTTCCTTAACTCACAGACATACGAAGCGTCTACAAAGCTTACACATGATGTTAATATTTGGAAACCCGCTACAATTTCACAATAATCTGTTGCGGATTGTGTTTATCAAACAGTCAAATTATCATCCAAAGTCTACAAAGTTTGACGTAAGATATATCTGTCTGCAAAGGTTCACAAATGTTTTGTTTACCAGTAGGTACAGTTGCTCGTGTGCTGGCTTAACAACGAGGTCTTTGACATAAATACCGTTATACGAGAAGATACTCAAATCTCGATTCAATCACATGTGCGGGCCATAATTCAGACTGAAGTAATTAATTTTAGTTCGTTTGATTCAAGCGAATTACATTCCCACAAAGATCGGTCCTAAGTCGCCCGCATCCAGGCGCTTCCCACGACCTTCACCAGATCATCGGTACACCTAGTGGGAGCCTACACTACGTCTTCCGGCTTGTAGTCGCCACTCGAGAACTTTTCTGCCCCAGCGGTCATAAGCTCTGCGAGCTACGTGCCCCACCCACTGCCACTAGATTTTAGCGATTCTGCGGGCTATGTCAGTCACTTTGTTTCTCCTGCGGATCTTCTCTTCGATTAAATTTATGTAATTGATTAAGCTCTACCACGTCAACTTTTGTTCTGCCTGTAAGTGACTACTGCGGTGTAATTGTAGTGAATCATTTTAGTGATCTTTCTACACTGTACGCTAAACCTATTAAAAGAGATAAACTGTCATATATTTTATTAGATAGTAACTATGTCATCTCAAGAGTTACAATAACAGAGCACGCGCCTGCTAAAATTGTACCTATTTTTGAGATATAAAGCGATTTTGCTCTACAAATCATGGTCCACACGAATTATGTCACCATGTCATTTGTCCGTAAAGTGTTTCTTAGGCTGAGTTGCACCATCTTACCTTAACTTTAACAAACGTCAAAAATCTGTTAAATTCCATACAAAAAACACCAGTATTTGTTAAATTTACTTTTAAAGTAGGCTGATGCAACTCCGCCTTATTAAATATCGCCTAAGGTAACAAAATATTTTACCCAAAAAATATTTTGGTTAAAAGAATCGCCGTAATGTATAAAACAGAACGCGTGTAGTCGTCGAACGCGTCGCGAACCTAATAAAGTTATTTAAATACAAACACGACACAATTTAAATAAATATAATAATCTCTCGCATAATAACTGTTCAAGTTATTACTTTATCTAAACGACAGTAAATTATAACAATTATCAAACAAATTGCAATACTTATACAGATGATATTTCCTTATTGAAAAAGCTAGTTTTTTCACGACTTGGTAACTTATACATTTTAAGGTAATCTAATAAATATGGTAAATCTATATCTAAATATATGTATAAAAGGAGAAACTGACTGACTTAGTGAAATATCAACGCACAGCCTAAACGGCTAAACGTAGGCACATGAAATTTGGAAGGGACGTAGCTTAGGCACCGTAGAGGTGCACTAAGAAAGAAATATCCGATATTCCCACGGAAACGGGAATTAGCAGCAAAATACTTTTGTATGAAAAATCTAAACCGCTTAAGTTAAACGCTAGAAATTTGGCATGCAGGTACCTTAGTAAACTTAAAGCTTTTAGTTACAAGAGGATATAGCTAAATTCCCACAGGAACGGGAGTAAGCGGGAATAAACATTTGTATGAAAAATCTGAACTGCGTAAGATAGATGAAGGGGGTAAAACGGGATCCACGCGTACGAAGTCGCGGGCGGCCGCTAGTAAATTATACATTTTAAGGTTATACGGATGATGGAGTATCAAGCTATTCGGTATCGTATAAAGGTTTTACGGCTGCTGTAATACAATATGAATCAGTACAGTACATGCTTGAAACTGGAAGATAAGACTTTTTATGAGCTGTCAAAATACAGTTTATTTATTTACGCCTGGGCCACACACATCACGATAACATTCGGGCGACAGCGGAGCGAAGTCGTTGCTACTAAGCAAGAAAGCTCCGAAGTATAAGGAAATAATACTTGTCTACAGATATCGCCTAAGGGTTAGTTTGTTTAAAATATAGAAATACTAACGGCCCACCCTGGCTTTGCACGGTTGCAATTGCAATGGAATTTCCCGGCTTTTCTCTTTTATAATATGCATGTTTTACACTTATAAACCTCCCTCTTGAGTCACTCTACATTTGAAAAAACCGCATCAAAATCCGTTGCGTTATTCTAAAGATCTCAGCATACAATATAAGGACAGACAGCGGAAAGCGACTTTGTTTTAAACTTTGTCGTGCTGAATGCCTAACGTCATTAAAAGTCTTCAGTTTTGAATATAGTAACTGCACAGTCACAGTTTGACAATATGGATTTTTCTGATATAAAAAAGGAGAACAAGAAAAAAAATATTTAAGAGAATTAAAAGAAAAAGGCCGCCAAGGGTCAAAATAATCCTTTCTTTCGGGGTTTCATACCTCAAAAGAAAAAAGAAAACCTTACAAAGCACTGCGACCTCTGAAAACATATTAACATTAAAACAATGAACAAGGAAGTGTTTTCATTGATCCCACACAAGGCCTACGGATAATGACATGTTTGGGCATCCGTCAGTGGTCGTGGGGAGGGTTGTCACCTTTATAATAGTCATGAAAACCAAAGTTCTTTTATCTTTACTAATTTGTATCAAATTCAAAAGCTTTGAGTCTGACTTTGTCATATTAGGAAGAATATTATACATAGTTATTTACAATGTCGCACACCGCCTAATAGGTTTTTCGAAATACTATTGAGAAGAAATACTATCACACATAAATTTCAAATTATTTATTTCTATTAAGCCACATCGAGAAAGTCACCTCAAACAATAGGTTTAGGATTTACAAACAAACACACCCATTTATTTATAAATACTGCTATTACGGAGGTACCAGTAACTAATCTACATACTAATTGGCTGTTTGTTTGCACAGCGACAGCCCTACACGCAAGTAAAGTCGAAGGTCAGCGCAGGTCTGCATACACGTGACCATCGCTGATTGTTCAATCGTATATTTTTAGACTCTTTATGATCTCTTCAGTTTTTGTTACCCGAAATAGAAACCTGTTTTAATAGTCAATGGTTATATTAATACGAGTATAATTGCCATATAACCAACCTGTTTGAAGCCTCCTATAAATTGTAGAGCACAATATTATACGTCGGCAAAAAGGGCGAACCTTTTTCATAAAATTATACTTCTTCTTCTTCCTCGGTGCCTTGCTGATGAGGATCGCGACCACATACATTATAGTATTCCTCCACAGTCTGCGGTCATAAGCTTTGTGAACCGCATACAATTATACCTACAGGAGAGTTAAAAACGACATAGTACCTGAAGAATGAAGCATTTCCGTATACAACTATTTTTTTTACAGTTTGTATGATGTTCGCCCCTTTGCAGCGTAGGCGACGAAATGTAGAGCACAATATATGGGTAGGCTTCCTATGTACAGAACAATGCCCTGAACCACAGAATAAGTAATAGTACAGGTACAGAAGGATTACTCCGCAAGACGATTTAAATAAATGCGAGTCTTGCTACGACGCGATACAGTGGAATTCAGCTCGCACAGCACTACGTACCTACAATTTTATTCACCTACAAGTTTTGTCTCTTTCTATCGCGTGCCTCTGAACTCTTCTTACGCTGTTAGGGTTGCTGTCTAGTGAAAAAATAATTAATCTACTTATTTGTAATGAGGAAACGAACGAACGCATTCTGAGCAGTAGTCATAGTAGGTTAGGTTCCTATACTATCCTAAGAATTATTGATTACCTACATGGCCAACATACCTTTCAGCATCTTTGGGAAGCGAAAAAAAAGATAAATCCGGTAGATTTCTTTTCGAATTTAAACACCCGAACGCCGCACAATATTTCTTTCTCTGTATGTCCATTTTTAAATAATACTTCGATCATAGAATTATAATCATACTACAACGCACGCCAGCGTCCTGACGGGCGCGCGCGTGACACTCGACTGATATAATACCCGCCGGCGGGGCGCTTCGCTGTAGGTAATTATCGGATGTACCGCGCGGAGTGAGCCAGGCCTGCCTGAACTTAATAAATAAATAAATAATAAATGTCCTTGGACCTTTTACACTGCGCCGTCTAGTACCAAACTAAGCGTAGCTTGTACTATGGGTACTAGACAACGGATATAAACATAATTAAAATACTTTTTTTTTAAA